CACCGCCACGGCCGAGAAGAGCACGGCGGCCGAGCCCCCGGCCAGCCCGCAGGCCGCCAGCTGCAGCACCTGCCGGAACGCCATGCCAACCCGCTCCGGCGCGCTAACGGCAAGCCGCCGGGGAGGCACTTCCGCGCGGTCCTCGCTTCCGGCGGACGCGGCGAACAGCGGAAGTCCCGCCTTCCGCGCCGCGAGGGCCGCTGGGATGCCCACCGCCCCGACCCTTGCCCTTTCTCGCGGAGGAGGAAGTGGGTGTCCTGGGTTGGCGGGACACTCGAGTCCTTCATTCCGCTGGTCAACACACGTCCTGAGCGCCCGCACTGTGGCCCAGAGACAGGGGAGAAAATAGGGAAGCCGGAAAGGGTGACTGCATGCGGGAGGTGACCCTTAACCCATTGCCCGAGGACGCGAAGGAGCCGCCACGGAGAATCGCGGCCATTCCGTCGGCTGACGATGCCATGAGACGCTGACACTACGATTTTGCTGCAGAGCTGCCTTTTCAAGAGGAGCTGCGCGTCTGCACGAGAAGGAACGCATAGTATCTCTGAGCCGTTGGCTATCAGCCCCACTTGGCTTGTTTCCCTAAGACTAAGAAACCGGACCCTCAGTATCCTATGTGAAATTTGTCATCGCATGTCATCTCTGCCTCACGTTCTCTGCTCTACCCGCTTCCCACACACACCAGTGGAGATGAGGCTTCAGCCGTGCTGGCCACCCTTGCGTGGGCCTGCCCCACTCCGGGCTGTATGTCTCTGGTAAACGTTCCAGTGGGCGATGGCACTGGAAAAATCCACCACAGAATTAACTCAATTTTGACTTTACCCTGCTCTTCTGAGAGCCATAAGGAGTTCTGGTGGTGCTGTGATGAAAGCATTCATTTGGCCACTACCAAAAGGTGGACAGTTCAAACCCTACAGTCGCTCCCCAGCTTCCATAAAGGAACAGCCTTAGAGACTCTGTGGGGCAGTTCCACTCTGTCCTCTGGGGGCGCTGTGGGTCGGAATGGCGTCCACAGCAGTAGGTGTGGTTTGGGCTTTGCCCTATGGGTCAATTCTACTCTGTCTTACACAGTCACTATGAGTTGAAATCACTAGGTTTTCAGTTTCTGAGAGCCACACGATAATATGCTTGGGAACTGGGTTGACCACATCTGAATCCCAGCTCCTTGTCAAGTAGTCTTGCCTCCATTTCCTCATTTGTGAAATGGGGAGAACAAAGACACCTATGGCATAGGGTTGTTGTGAGGATTAAATAACTTGGGTGGTGCGCTTACAATGACACTGGGCACAAAGTCAACCTGCAGTTAGTACTGACTGACTTCAGGGATCATCTAAAATCTCTCTGAGACACCAGTCTGTCTATCTCTGTTCAGCTGAAGGAAGAGTGGAATTCATTTTGACTTAACAAGGCAGCCGTCACCATGCATGTCAATTGTAGAAAATGCTGTTTACTTTTCCATCTGCTCTGTCTTCTTTTGGGAACTACCCCACCCCATCCCCACAGGGGAAGTTTTGAAATGGAAAAGTAATCTTTTGAGATTTAAGAGCAGCCCTCTGATTGTACTGTACATTTCTCCCAAAGGTACAACCATTCTGAGAAAATCACCATTGAAGAAGCTACATCACAGTTTATTGTGATCCTGATTCGGCCCAAGGTGATAACTGAAATCATCTCTATTGGATTTTACATTTCAAGGGCAGCACCATTTAAGAGTCAGTTACTGCCTTTTTAAAATCATCCCAAAATTAAAGAGAGTTCCATCATTTTAGGCATCTTGGGTCATAAGATTTAAAATCATAAATTCCTGACTTTTGATTCTGCTCTCAAGCACTGGGTGGATGAAGATGCCTCCCCAGGCCTACGTCTGTAGCATTTCTGATGTTCTCGTCAGGCCATCTTCACTTGCCCAGAGAGGCCAGGTAGGCATACCAGAACAGAGCCACCAGGTTGGCAAAAAGCACACGGAACTGCCAAAGAGCACACGTTAAGTCAGATGGCTGCTGAAAAGTAGGAGAGCCCCACTCACAGTTACCTTCTCTCTCTGGTCCTATGGAAGAGAGTTCTCTGTTAGGCCCAGAATCCCATTCTGCTTGCCTCTTTAGGGGTGGCACCCCATGAGACTGTGTCTCCTGTATACACGCTTGCCAACCCACAAGCAGCTCTTCATCTGCATATAAACATGGTCACATTTCCACCTCCACACTAGTGCACCTCACACTCTTCTACCTGTTACCCCTCCCTATATCTTCACAAATTTCTTGAACTTTCTGTATACATGGCTTCTTTTCTACTTCCCTTCCCCTAGCTTCACAAACTTCTTGAAATAATTTTCTGTATTCATGTCTTCTTTTCTACTTCCCCATCCACTCCTGAATTCACTGCTAGCTTCAGCCCCTATCAAGCCACTGAAACTGCTCTTGTGAAGTTTGTTGGTATCATTGCTAAAGTCGTTGAAAATCTCTCCATTTTTATGGTTTTTAACTCTCTGCAACATCTGTGCAAAACCAAGGCTCCAGGAAAACTACTTTTCTACCACAGAATTTTCTTTTTAAAAAAAAAAAAAAAAAGCTGATAGAAAATCATCTTTGGGGGAGGAGCCCCACAGTCTCTGACCCTGTGTGTGAAAGGCCAGGCTGGCCCCCTACCTGCAAAGGGACATAGTTGATGTTAATAAACTGCAGCGGAGTCCAGACTTTCCAGTTCATCTGCAGCGCTGGCCAGAAGCCTCTTCTCATCTTAGTGGAAAAGGCGGCCATGTTTTTTCTCTGGAAACAATGGAAAAAGCAGACAGTGAACACTCCCCACTGTTGATCAGAACTGTCACCAAAATCCTAACACAGTGGAACCTCCAGACTCTAAGACCATGATTTAAAAAGAACTGTAGCAACTTGTTTTGTTCTTTCTAGAAGCAGACAAGGTATCCATGCAATTTATGAGTAGTGCAAATAAAAGAAGTAACCATGTAGTTGGCAAATCAGTTGTAAAACAGAGAAGCAGCAGACTGCTCACCCTGTGGGTAGCATTTTTCCATGACTCCTCACTGCTTACGCAGAAACTAGAACAAGACAGTTTGCTAAGTGGAAAAAAAACAAGATTGAACTCTACTTCCCATTATAAACAAAAAGGATACTAGAGGAAAGTATGTCCATTATCTTTGGGTGTTACCAACATGTACAGAATCAAACCATAAGAGTAAAACAAAGTTTAGGCGAGTATGTCCATTATCTTTAAGGAAGCCCACAAAAACAGGCTGAACTATTAGGTGTGTCTATGAAGCGGGGAGTGTACCCAAGACTATGTATGGGGTTGGCAGACAATGGTCCTATAAGTGTATGTGTATGATCTGTAAGAATTCTCAGGTGTATAGTAGAGCTGACAAGGGATAAGGCTGTACTTCTTGGGTACAGCCAGCTACCCAGAGGGACCAAGTAGTTGAACCTGTGGGCTCAGGACCATAGTCACAGGGGACATCAAGTTCAGTTGGCATAACATACTACACAAAACATTGTTCCACTTCCTGCTTTGGCGAGTAGCGACTGGGATCTGAGAAGCTTGCAAGCAGCCATCTAGATGCAACGATGGGTCTCTCCTCATCCAGAGCAAAGTAGAATGAAGAAAACCAAAGATTCATGGAAACAATTAGTCCTAGTGACTGGTACACCATGCGATCTGCAGCCTACACGACTATGAGACCAGAAGAACTAGATGGTGCCCAGCTACCGCTGTCAACCACTCACGGAGATCTATGTAGGAGATCTTGGAGAGAGAGGGAGAACAATGTAGAACAAAACTAAAAATCATTTGGAAAAAAGGGGGGGTGCAGGTTTGCTGGTTTGTAGAGCCTGGTGGAACCACTGAGACTATGGCCCCTAGCTGCCCTTCAGGTCTGGAATTGAACCCACACCTGTGGCTTCCAGCCAAACAAAAGGCATGTGAACTGAACATTTACCTGAGGTAGATACACTCCTTGGAGAGAACCATCATGGGAGAAAGAAGGGCTGTTTATGCACAGGGAGACAGTTCAGGGGGCAGGAGTGCATGGAGGAATGGACACAGGGAAGAGGTAACTATGGGGAGGAAGTGGGAGGGGAGCTGTTGCATTGTGGTGAATTGTGGTCAGTGACATGAGACGGTGTATGTGAACTGCTGTATGGAAAGTGAATTTGCTATGTAAGTTTTCACCCAAATCACAATTAAAAAAAAAAAAAAAAAGACTGACAGATCTGAATCCATGAGTTTTTTAAACTTCTATGCAGAGAAAGGCACTATAGGGGATTTTATTTGTATAACTTTTAACTTTTTAACATTATGTGAACTTTTTAAATTTATGTAAAGTTAGAAGGCAAACTAAAATACGGGGGAAATATTTGCAACCTGTTTTTGGCAAAAGGATTAATATCCTTAGTATATAAAGTACTTTCATAAATCAGTAAAGAAAAAGCAAACACTTCTATAGAAAGTAAGCAATGTTCATAGAAGAATTATAAATAGCAGATAAACAAACGGCGTTCAGCCTCATAACTATATAAAAATTAGGGCAGATCTTTCTCACCTACTACAAATTACTTAAAAGTACTATCACAGGTCAAAAGTGTGAGGAACTAAAGCCCACAAGGCAGAAAAGCTATCATTGCAAGTGCTTAGTAAACATGAGCTGCTGTCACCCAACAGTGATGAGAGCACAGACGAGGACAATCTTTTTAGAGAACAGTTGTAAGAATTAGTCAAACAAGAATCCCTACACAGTAGGCACAGGCATATGACAGTGCAATGCTATCTAGCCTGTAACATGTCTATGATTTAAAAACTGCTGGATGCAGACACATTTGTAGTGGTGGTGGTGGCAGGTGCCTTGCTGAGTCGCTTCCTGCACATCAGAACAAACAACTGCCTCTGCTGCACCATCCTCACAATCGTTGCTGTTTGAGCCCATTGTTGCAGCTATTGTATCATCCATCTCCCTGAGTGTCTTCCCCTTTTTTCGCTGACCCTCTACTTTACCAAGCATGATGTCCTTCTATAGGGACTGGACTGATAACATGTCCAAAGTATGTGAGACGAAGTCTTGCTATCCTTGCTTCTAAGGGACATTCTGGCCATACTTCTTCCAAGTGGGAATATATTCGTATATTCTTCCAATGTACGTATATACATATACGTATACTGATATGTGAACAGATACATGTATATACACATGTATCAGGAGCCCTGGTGGCACAAGTTAAAGCACTTGGGCTGCTAACAAAAAGGTCAGTGGTTTGAACCCACCAGGTGCTCCACAGGAGAAAGATGGGGTAGTCTGCTTGTGTCGATGACAGCCCTGGAGAGGCAATGGGCTGCTCTATTCTGTCCTATGGTGGTGCTATGAGTTGGTTGACCAGATAGCAGTGGACTTGCTGTATGCATGTATATGTAATAAAGCATGGCCCCGCTTTTATCTTTGTGTGTATGCACTCTGGAGATATATCTGTATATTTTGGTAATAGAAATATATTCCCTTCATATCTGCAAGGAACCAAAGGAGTCACTGTAGCCCACTTACTTCTCGTGTAATACCCTTGACTTCCTTAGACCTCAGAATTATTAAAGACTTCTTAAACATTTCTTTTTACTATCAGGAACTTAATAGCAAAAATTAAACACTTTCCTAATTCCCTTCAGGATCATGTTAGAAAACAAGGGGTGTTTTCCATAACAAGAACTTGAAATACTGTTTCTAATAAAACCTGTGCAAGAAGCATGTACCTGGTGTGATCAGTTGAAACAAATTATTCACACACGACACATCTCAGATACACAGTCCAACCCAACCCTCTTTCTTCCAGAGCAGGTGAGGTTTGTATACTAGGAAGGGAGACTTGGATTGGAAGCATGTCAGAGAATGGATATGCAGGGTATTACACATGGACACATCTCCATGCATGTTAGTTCCAGTTTTAAGTGCACACCATTGGTTAACCTCTCCAGCATGCTGACAATGTTCCAGGTACTGTGTTAGCATAGGGTCTGCAGCTTCATGTGAAGTTCTTACACTTTTTGTCATGAATTTCCTTGGCTCTCTGGTAAAGCCCTGGACCCCTTCTCAGAATAGTGATTTGTGATGTATAGGGAAGCCTTGGAAATACTGTGTATTTGGCTCTGAACTACAGCAAATAGAGTTAACATCTCAGTAAAGCTAGTCACACAAATTTTTTGGTTTCCCAATGTATATAAAAGTAATGCTGGTACTCTACTGTAGACTATTAAGTATGCAACAGTATGATGAAAAAGTCTGAAGTATTGTTGAGAATGACCAATTTGTGACACAAAGACACGGAGTAAGCATGTGCTGTTGGAAAAGTGGCACCCCGTAGACTTGCTTGATGCAGGGTTGCCACAGACTGTCAATGCATGAAGTCACTGTATAAAGCCAATGAATGAAGTGCAAAAGGCACTAAAATGAGGTACGCCTGTATAAAATAAAATTGCACAGGATTACAATTAGTTATATTAGTTACCAAAGGATTCAGAAAACAATTATGGGATACACTAACTATGTACTTTTTTTACCATAAGAGATGAATTCTGATGACAGGTCCAGTAACTACCGAAAATCTCAAAGCAGTGATGCACGCAGATGATGTTTAGAGATACGGACTAACAATGGATATGTGCTATCCCGTTATCTGTGATTTCTACTTGGGATCAATAGGTCTTGCCAGTTTCAATGTGAGCGCAAGGAAACGTTCACAGCCCCTCTGAACTCTATCCCCAGACACTGGATTAGGGACCTCTGTCCTAAATGAAGAGCTACCATAGAGGCCACAGCAGAGACCCACCTCTAGCAAGTTCATGACGAGGAAGAACAACAACAGGAAGGCTGGGGCAAAGACGAGGCGGTCCAGAAGGAGCCTCTTGACTCCTGCCAACGGAACCTCAGAGGGGATCCAGAGCTCCATGAAGAGGTAGAAGAAGTGACTCAGTGGCCCTGTGAAGAAGAACCTGAGGCCCCGTGGCAGGTGTGACCTGCATGGTGGTACCCTGGATGTCCCCCCCAAATCCCAGGTCTTGAACCCCACCTCCTGAATGGATCAATACCCACTACCCACTAGGCGTGGGCCTAGAAAATAGGCTTCTTTTGATACTTCTTTAGGCGTTCTTTTTTTTGCCTCTACCAGACCAGACTTGTTCATGGTTTGGACTCTTTTCACTTGATGTTCCCTTTACTCCCAGGGCTCTCCCTCCGGTCTACTTGTGGATAGCTCCTTATCAACAGTATCAGCTCCAATACCCTTCTTTCTAAGAGACCCTTTCCCAGCTGGCCTAATCAGTATGTGCACCCACCTCCAGCCATTCTTGATCCCAGGGCCCTCGTTTACTCTATTCACTGCATTTATCATCACATATAATTATCTCCTCCGTTTAGTTATTTAGTGCCCTCTTTTTACCCCTAGGAGGGAACCACCACAAGCCAGGATCATGTCTGTCTTGTTCACTATCGTATCCCCAGACCAAGGTTAAGGTCTGGCTTGTAGAAGGCACTCAGTAATAAATAAATGGACACATCTCTGGCAATAGAGCTTTTCATCATACTTTCTAGGAAATGCAAGAATAAAAACGAGCTGTGTGTGTATCAGAGAGAACTCTGGTGGCTTAGTGGTTAAGGCATTTGGCTGCAAACCAAAAGGTTGATGGTTCGAATCCATCAGTTGCTCCATAGAAGAAAGAGGAGACAGTCTGCTTCTGTAAAGATTTATAGCCTTGGAAACCCAGTGGGGATCACTGTGAGTTGGAATTGACTGATGGCAGTGAGTTTGGGTTTTGGTTTGGTGTGTGTTACTAGTCTTCATTCCAGACCACTTGGGAGATAACAGTTCTATGTCTACTGGACAATAGGTCTCCAGCACCAGACAGTCCAGCAAGAATAGAGGCAGAGACCCAAGGATCTTTCAACTTCTGGGTTTGAGATATTTTTTAAGCAAGGGATTCTTGTTTTCTTCCCCCAACTCCATCATAGGGTGCTAAGTGGCCCTGTAGCAGTGATTCCTAACAGGAAAGAGAACCGAAACTTTGGAGATGAGAAAACTTTCATGTATCTGATAAAGCCGCCTGTGTGATTTCTGAGATACACCCCCCTGCTAAAGTCAGCAGGCTTGCTCACTGTCATCTACTCCAACAACACAGCCCCTCTTTCGTTCCTCAAACTTCAGATGGCTCCTCTCCAAGGACCTCTGCATTTACTAATCCCTGTAATTTTGAATTCCCCGAAGACTGAATTAAAACTTCACTAGCTGAAGACTTCAGCATAATCTGTTAACACTACTGTCTGACAGCCCACAGTGGATTTACAGGGTGAACTGAATCTCTGTGCTTTTGCAATTCAGAAAGTGGTTCAGAAGCTGGATATTCTTCAGTATACCTATGCACTTCTTTTCTGGATCTTTACACTAGGGAAATAACAAGAGAAACTTGCTAGTCATGTTTAGTATTTACCTTGGTTTTCTCTTCCATGAGCCCAAACATTTTCAGAGTCTTTGAGTCTTTAAGTCTGATTTTAAGTCCTGGTCTCTCAGCCCAATCATCCCACCCAATTAAAAATAAAAACCCATATTAAACTTTAAAATGAGTGAGTGGAGATAACTCCAACACCATTCTGATTTTTCCCATGATGATTATATCAGTGCTTCTTTCTTTAAAAAATTATTTTTCCAAATTAGATTATTACAAAAAATGTGTTTGGTACAGGCTTTGTTGGCCATTGTCTGCCTCCTGGGTAAACCAGCCCTAGTGACACTCACCCGTGAATGGCATATCTGAGAGGCCCACTGACATCTAGATTTTGCGAGCTGTTTTCTTTTTTCCGCTTCTTCTCTATCAGCTGGGCCAGGAAGTTCCCAAGTGCTGATAAAAAACCACTGTGGACAGAGAGGTAATCAAGAAACAGGAGCAAGTGGCAGGAGGATGTCCCTTTCCTTCATTGGCAGGCTGCTCAGAGACCCTGCTGTGGATGGCCTGATGTAAGCCCTTATTAAATAAACTGCAAGGTCCCTAAATAGAAAAATGGAACTTCACACGTTGTTGTTGTTACATGCTGTCGAGTCAGACCCGACTCACAGCGACCCCTCCTTGGGCTTCCGAGGCAGTATCACTACAGAAATAGATTGCCTCATATTCCTTCCGACGAGTGGCTGATGGGTTTGAACTGCCAATCTTCTGGTTAGCAGTCAAGTGCCTTAGGCACTACGCTACCAGAGCTCCCAACTTCACACATAATACAGAGTAAAATGAGAAATCTGGTGGATTGCACTCACAACAATATCCCAGTTATGATTATAATTTTGCAAGATGTTACTGCTGGGGAAAATGGGCGAAGTACAGAAGGGATCTTTCTGTATTGTGTATTACAACTGCATCTGTGTATCTTTATCAAAACAAAAATTTCAATTTATAAAAAAGGTGGAGACAGCTTCCTCCCTACCTCAGTCTGTAGCTGCCCAGATTCCCAATAAGGACAGTAAGGAACTTTCTGATGTGGCCCTCAGCTACCGCTCCTCTCACATCACGCCCCTGCTGGCTGTTCATTTCCTCCAGCAACACAGATCTTCTTTCTAGTCCATGGTTTTCCCTCAGGACACCTGCACTTGCCACTTCCTGAGTCTTTATTGTTGCTTCCGCTCATGGCTTTTGCTGCCTTCTTTGCATGGCTAGCTCTCTCTATTCATCAGGCCTTTGTTCAAATGTTACCTCCCCAGGAAACAAACTCTTCCTGTTTATTTTTTCCATTTGCTTATGGTGTAATTCTTCACTAGAATGTAAGCTCCGTGAGGGTAGGGGCTTTGATCATTGCTATATGACTAACAGGAAGTACTGCATACATATTTATAAAAAGCTCAATTAATAGATGGAGGTGAATTTATAATAAAACAAATTAATTAAAAGTAGTAACAGCTGAAGATGACTCAGAAAAAGTTTTGTACTCTATAGCAAAACACGGAGCTTTGTGTTGGTAACTCACCACGCTGGGCAGGTCAGCTTTCTTCTAAACGGAAAGCTGTCCAAAGACGAACCTGTCAATACGTCCCGCTCTGTCCAGCCCTTGTACCGTGTTCCACAATCCTAACACTAACACCCTAGGCTATTCCTCGGAAGAAATGCACTAACAAGCTGGAAGGTTGCCAACACTTCATATGAAGGCAGAACAAACACTGCAAACCAGCCAGGTCCCACTGGGGGCTGACGGTTACCTCGAGGGCAGAGGGTTTGATTGGCAGGACACCTTTCACCTTGTGCCTTCCTTTGGTCTGGCTCCCTAATTTCCACGTCGTAGCGTGCATAAGAATCATTTTTCAGCACCGAATGCACAAAACCCTCCGCATTGGGCTTTCTGGGTAATTCAAGGACGGTGAAGGGTCATTTTGGCAAACCGCATTTTGCCTCTCGCACCCAAACCCCTCGGTGAGACGCGTCTGTGCAGCTCGGTGGCTTGAGCCAGATCGGTCGGCGCCACGGGCAGACCGTGCCCAGGGCTGACAATGCCCGGCCGACGGAGCCAGAAGTGCCCCGGAATGGCGGTAACCAGACCGAGGTCTTCAACGCTCCGCGCCGGGCCGCCCCAACCCTCCGCGTGGTCGCTCCGCGCCGACCTCGTAGTCGCCTTGGTGAGCACTGGGTACAGCCGCAAGAGGCGCAGGTACTGGGCGAGCGCCCGCCGCGGGAGCGCCCCGACCCCGACCTCGGACCGCAGCCTGGACACCGCCGGCGCCATCTCCTCTCTCGCACCACGCCCGCCCCGGGCACAGACCCCGCCTCGGATATTCGGAGGCCAGGGAGCAGGGCGCAGCGCGGGGACCGCCTGACATTTCCCGCTCGCCCGCGGCCAGCAGCGTCGCCCCGGGCAGGGCTCCGGCTTCCCGGTGCGCGCGTGCGCACACTTTAGCCTCGATCCCTAACGGGCCACCTCCTCTCGGGCGCTCTCGGCGATTGGCGCTCCGCGGGGCGGGCTTGCGCCTGCGCACGTTTCAAAACAGTTCCGGACGGGCCATTTCCTCGGAACTTCATCGGCGATTGGCGCTCCGCGGGGGCGGGGCACGCTGCACCTCTTGATTGGACAGCTTCGGCGAGCGGCCTTCCGTTCTCTCGCGAGAGTCGGTCGGAGCGCGCCAAATTCCTGTCAGGAAAGTCTTCTCAGGTTCGGGCCGGGAGCTGCGCGATGGTTCTGCAGAACAGCGGGCGATGGCGCGCGGAGCCGGACGCGGACGGCGAGGCCAGCCGGTGAGAGTCGACCCTGCCCCTCGCGGCTGCAGGGCGTCGGCGTGGGGGAGCCCGCGGTGTTCCGAGGCGTGCTCGGCGCGGCAACCTTTGGGTGCCCAGGGAGCGCCCGTGGAGGTGATGCCTGGTCGCTGGACCCGGCACCAAGTGGGAAATGCCGAATGGGTTAGGGCGGTTGGTCTGTGCAGCAGCGTTGGAAGCCGTACGGCCCGTGTGGACGACGGCCGGTTTACGGGAGCTGTGAGCAGGAGCTGCAGTGGCGGTAACCACTGGTCCTTCTCTGGGTGAGGGCTCCAGGCTTGCCGTTAGGAGAACCCTTCCACGTGTCAGTGATGGTTTAGGGTCATGTCCAGGACTTTAGTTTGAGTGACACCCTGCGTATCTGTGCTTCGCGGATAGCTTTGGGCACCTCCGGCCCATCTTAGCCTTTGACTGTCTGGGTGTGTCTTATTATCGATACAGTACGGAAAGGGACAGCCGCTCCACGCGCGGCTGCAGAAGGTAGAAGCAGCCCATGGGCAGCGCCCCCGACCTGCGGCCGGTCCTGACCGCTTCCCTTGGTTGATGCGTCTCCTGCTGAACTTCTGCAGCTTCTTGCTAAGGTATAAGGGACTCCGCACTTGTTTTTCCCCTCTACCCGTTGTCACGAGAAGCCCTGGCGGCGCAGTGATGAAAGCGCTTGGCTTCGGACTAAACTGGGATGTTGGAACCCACCAGCCGCCTTGCAGGAGAGATGAGGCGGCGGGCTTCTGTGAAGATTGACAGCCTTGGAGACGCTGTGGGGCGGTTCCACTCTGTCCTCTGGGGGCGCTGTGGGTCAGAATGGACTCCACAGCAGTGAGTGTGGTTTGGGCTTTGCTTCTGTGAAGATTGACAGCCTTGGAGACCCTGTGGCGCAGTTCCGCTCTGTCCTCTAGGCACTATGCCACCAGAACTCCTTTTAATCATAGTATCACAATAGTGCCTAAGGCACTTGACTGCTAACCAGAAAGCTGGTGGTTCAAACCCACCAGCCACTCCTTGGAAGGAAGATGGGGCAATCTACTTCCGTAGTGATACTGCCTGGGAAACCCAAGGAGGGGTCGCTATGAGTCGGTCCGACTTGATGGCACATTACAACAACAACATCGCAATAATACTAGTAGGTTGTTATTAATCATGAGGTGTGTTGCAGGTCAATTTGTCTCTTAAAAAAGTAATTATTGTAAAACATTTCCTTTAAAAAACAAATCACAGTATGTTCATATCTTAAAAATTCCATATGCTTTGGAATAGAAAATCTGAGAGCCAGACAACCAGGAAACAACATATCCTTGGCCTTGGACATTTCTATCAAAGGATGTCTTACATGTGAACTTTGCTTATCATGTAGGCTCACGGGAAAAAAAAATGGGGAATTCTGCCAATTGCTCAGTATATCTATTCCAATGATGCATTCTGGAACTGGGGAAATCACTACAGGATGGGTTCGGGGACCCTGTGGACCACTGCAAGATGCAACTTAGCTAAGACTCCATCAATAACTTGACCTCCATATGCCCCCACTCTGACTGGTGGGCCACAATGATGCTTTGGGTCTCCTGGAATTAGTGTCGGTTCAGAGCCAGTATCCAGTAATCCCCAAAAAGTCTGATTATTTCCTATTCCCCAATGAACAGTCACTCTCGTAAAAGGCCTCAGATCTCTTTGGGGAAGGCTGGGAGAAAGATTGACATTATTATAGATTTTTGGCAACGTAGTGGGGTCCTTCCTCAAAGGGATCTGGCCTCTCCTTCACTCAGGAGTTGTGGGTCTGTAAACTGACTCAAGTCTGGGAATTGATTGAGAGGCCGTGACTCTGTATTCTGGCGATTCAATCTAGGCTGCAGTTCACGTGACCTAGAATTCTTCTGTCTATACAGATCAAGTAAATATTTAGTAGATTTGCCATGTATTTCACTACTAGGAACACCATGTGCAAGTAGCCAATGCCATAGGTCCATACGAGTCAGACTGTTCTGATTACTATTCGACTCTGCTGTCCATTATGGTAACCATGCTCACCTTGCCTTTGTCGATTAACTGCTGACACTTGGCCCCTGCTACCACCAGGTTCCATCAGCCCCATTGTAGTTAAATGTCTTAGTTCAGTAAGGGCAGTTCCCACTGTCAAATCCTTTTGCTGATGTGGCACCACTCAAACTGAGAAACAGCAGCAAACATCCATTAATAATTGGAACATGGAATGTACGAAACACGAATCTAGGAAAATTGGAAGTTGTCAAAAATGAAATGGGATGCATAAAGATTGATATCCTATGCATCAGTGAGCTGAAATGGACTGGTTTTGGCCATTTTGAATCAGACAACCATATGATCTATTATGCCAGGAATGACAGTTTGAAGAGGAATGAATGGCGTGGCATTCATCATCACAAAGGATGTTTCAAGATCTGTCCTGAAGTACAGTGCTGTCAGTGATAGGATAATATCCATACGCCTACAAGGAAGACCTGTTAATATGACTATTATTCAAATTTATACCCCAACCACCAAAGCCAAAGATGAGGAAATTGAAGATTTTTATCAACTTCTGCAGTCTGAAATTGACCGAACATGCAATCAGGATGTGTTAATTATCAGTGGTGACTGGAATGCAAAAGTTGGAAACAAAGAAGACTCACCGGTAGTTGGAAAATTTGGCCTTGGTGACAGAAATATTGCTGGAACTCACAGGTCAGCAGTTCAATCCCAGCAGCTGCTCCACAGGAGGAAGATAAGGCAATCTACTTCTGTAAAGTCTTGGAAACCCAGTGGGGGTCATATGAGTCGGAATTGACTCAATGGCAGTGGGTTTGGTTTTTTTTGGGAGGGAGACTATATGTGGCTTAGAAGTAAATAGAGCTTCTGGCCAAAAATATACAGGCTTCAGAATATCAAGACTAGTTTAAAAAAGAAGCTAGCAAACAGTTTCTCCTTTTTGAGTTAGAATACTAATACATGAAGAGATATGCTATAATTATTCTGGTCCATCCATATGGAATCGCAACTGTGGAGTTAAAGCTTGTGGGCAATTTGGGGAGGATCTAGGCCCCGGAATCAGAACAGGTTTGGTTTGAATAGCTCTGGTGGTAGAAAGTCTTCATCAGGTTGTTGTTGTTGTTATTATGTGCCGTCGAGTCGGCCCCAACTCATCGCGACCCCTCCTTGGGTTTCCGAGGCAGTATCACTACAGAAGTAGGATTGCCCAACCTTCCTCCTGAGGAGTGGCTGGTGGGTTTGAACCGCCAGCCTTCTGGTTAGCAGTCAAGTGCCTTGGGCACTATGCTACCAGAGCTCCTCTTCATCAGGTACTTTATTTAATTTAAGGAAAAAACCTTAAGGGCCTGTGGAGACGTAGTGGGTAAGGCACTTGACTGCTAACCACCCTCCGCGGAGGGAAGAGGGAGTGATCTATTTCCGTAAAGATTTACAGCCTTGGAAACCCAATGGGGGGGTCGCTATGAGTCAGAAACGACTTGGTGGCAGTGAGTTTGGTGTTTTTTTTTTTTTTTTTTTAAACCTTATGAAGAGTTATAAGATTCTTACGAGAAGAGGCTTGGGAAGTTTGAGACGGGTGTATTGGTATCATGGAGCAGAGGAAACTGAGTTTCTTTGTTGTTAGTTGAGATAAATCCTCCTATAACCTCACAGAACTTTGTTGTATCCCCATTTTTATGCATATCTGATTGGTCTGTTCGCATTTTTAAGGTATATGTTCTGCTTCAACAAGTGTTTCCATGTAATTGGTAAATAGAGAAATGATGTCAGTAAAATGTGGAGATTGAAATGGTTCATCTGCACTTGTTCCTAGGTTCTGACTCATGGCGACCCCATGTACAACAGAACATGGTCTGGTCCTGTGCTACCTCACAATTGTTGCTATATTTGAGTCCATTATTGCAGCCACTGTGTCAGTTAATCTCATTGAGGGTTTCTTTTGATTTTATTGACACTCTACCAAACAGGGTGTCCCTTTCTAGAGCTTGGTCTTTTCATGATGACATACCCAGAGTAAGAGAGCTGAAGTCTCACCATCCTCCCTTCTAAGAACCATTTTGGTTCTATTTCTTCTGAGGCTGATTTGCTCATTCTATGGTTTCCTAATTCCTCCCAGGAAATGTATTTGAGTTGGCAGAAGAGGTGCTGTATTTGCCCAGGATTGCAGGAACCCCAAGTGAGATTTACCAAGCCTCTTGCACACCTAGCTCTGTCACTTTGAAACCACCCTATAATCATCTTGCCTAGTTGCAAAGGCTACTCTCAGCAACCCACAGCTGCTGTGTCTCACATGCCATTTCAAGTAACATTTGGGCAGAGCTTTGAAGTGTTCAGGAGCTCTGGTGGCATAGTGCCTAAGGCATTTGACTGCTAACCAAAAGGCTAGTGGTTCAAACCCACCAGCCACACCTCGAAAGGAAGGTTGGGCAATCTACTTCCGTAGAGATACTGCCTCGGAAACCGAAGGAGGGGTCGCTATGTGTCGGATCTGACTCAATGGCCATGGGTTTGGTTTTGGTTTTGGTTTTTAAACTGTTCATTCCAGTTCGTTCTTCTGCTAGGAAATTGTGTTTGTACCGCAAGATGTACCAAATCAGAATCTACACTTTAACAAGCTCCCCCAGTGATGCTTATAGATCCCCTGTATACCTAAGGATCACCTGAGGATTTGTTACAATGTAAATTCTGATTCAGTATATCTAGTGGAAAGGCAGATTCTCAGCAGGGGGCAAACTAGAATGAATCAGTTCAGAGCCCTACGTTTCAGGTATCTTGTTAGATTATCTGCAGATTATAGGAAAACAGCAAGCAACACAAGTGCACACCCAAGTTGTGACTATACAGTGGTGCCTTTGGGTGTGGAAAATCCAAGCTGTACAAGGATGGGGGCAAGCTTAGCCAGGGTCTTCACAGAGAAACATGATCAACAGATAATTATTAAACACAGTGTTTTACTACCATGCTGCTGTAACAGACACACCACAAGGGTAGTCTTGAAAGAACAAATTTATTTTCTCATAGTTCAGGATGCTAGAAGTCCAGATCAGGCACTGGTTCTAGGGGAAGAGTCTCTCTCTGCGCTGGAAGAAGGTCCTTGTCTCCTTTACCTCTATAGCCCTGGTGTTCCTTGGTTCCTTGGCGTTCTTCATGTAGCATCCTCTTCCCCAGTTTGTGCTCGCTCATCTTTCTATTTTATGCTTGCTTACTTCTGCGTCTAATCTCTTTTTTTTCTTTTTTTAATTGTGATTTGAGTGAAAGTTTACAGAGCAAATTCATGTTCCATACAGCAGTTCACATACATTTTGTCTCATGGCATTGACTACAATTTTCCACAGTGCAACAACTCTCCCCCCCTACTTCCTCCCCATAGTTACCTCTTCCCTGTATCTTTCCCTCCATGCACTCCTGCCCCCCTGAGCTGTTTCCCCGTGCATACACAGCCCTTGTATTCTCCCATGATTGATCTCTCCAAGGAGTGTATCTACCTAGTGTAAATGTTCAGCCCATATGCCTATCTTTTGTTTGTCTGGAAGCCACAGGAGTGAGTTCAATTCCAGACCTGAAAGGTAGCTAGGGGCCATAGTCTCAGGGGTTCCACCAGGCTCTATCAGACCAGCAAACCTAGTCCCCCCCCCCTTTTTTTTTAAATGATTTTGAGTTTTGTTCCACATTGTTCTCCCACTCTATCCAGGATCTCCTACATAGATCCCCCTCCGAATGGTTGACAGTGGTAGCTGGGCACCATCTAGTTCTTCTGGTCTCATAGTCATATAGGCTGCGGATCGCATGGTGTACCAGTCGCTAGGACTACTTGTTTCCATGAATCTTTGGTTTTCTTCATTCTTCTTCGCTCTGGACAAGGAGAGACCCATCGTTGCATCTAGATGGCTGCTTGCAAGCTTTTAAGATCCCAGTCTAATCTGCTCTTTTGATAACTCAGATGTGATTAGATTTAGGACACACCATACACTGACATGGCTTCATTACCATAATAAACCAAGCCCTGTTTCCAAACAGGATTACATCCATAGGCATGTTGTTAGGTGCTATTGAGTCGTTTCTGACTCATAGCAACCCTGTGTACAACAGAATGAATCACTGCCCTGTCCTGCGCCATCCTTGTCATCATTGCTATGTTTGAGGCCATTGTTGCGGTCACTCTCTGTCCATCTCTTTGTGGGTCTTCTCTTTTTTGCTCACCTTCTACCTTACTGATAACATGTCCAAAGCACAAGAGACGAAGTCTCACCATCCTTACTTCCAAGGAGCACTCCAGCTATATTTCTTCAATAAGGAAAGAAAAAACCCTTAGTTGGACTGTTACACAGCTATGTGCCCTGTCCATTCTATTTCAAGAAAATTCATTATGAACACCCAAAGAGGTACACCCTTGCAAGTGACACTTTCTCCCGTGCTCAGAGATCTGAGTGTTCACAAGCCAATATTTACTCTCTCTTGTTTTAGTGCCTTTAAGAAAAAAATTGTTTTGAGTACTTGGAAGAAATAAAACAGTGATGCCCAGTGCATCCTTCACCCAATTTCCCCCAGTAGTAACATCTTGCTTAACTATTGTACTATGTCGCAATCATGCAATTGACCCTGATGCTATCTATCCATCCGTTTTATTCAGATTTTACCAGTTTTATATGCATTCACTAGTGTGTGTATTTAGTTCTGTGTAACTTTATCACCTGTAATTTGTGTGATCACCAAGATAGTCAAAACACAGAATTTTTTATCCTAAGGGTCCCTTGTACTACCCTCTATAGCTACAACCTCTGCCCCCTGACAACCACTAATCTGTTCTCCCATCTTTAGTGTTGTGATTTCAATAATGCTATATAAGTGGAATCACGTTGTGATTCTGACTCACAGTGACCTTAGAGGACAGAGTAAAAGTGCCTCAGAAGGTTTTCCAGGCTATAAAACTTTACAGAAACACGTCACCAGGTCTTTTCCCATGGAGCAGAGCAACTGGTGGATTCAAGCTGCCGTACAATGTGGACCTTTCTGGGAAAAGTTTTTTTCACTTAGCATAATTCCCTTGAGATGCATCCAGTGAGTATGTGTCCAGTGTGTGTGTATACCAATAGTTCATTCCTTTATAATGCTGAGTGGCAGTCCATGGTATGGATGCACTACAGGTTGTTTAACTCTTGGCTTTTTAAAGATTATCTGGGTTGTTGTCAGGTTTTGGGTATTATGAGTAAAGGTGCTATGAATATTCATGAGGCAATACCCAACCATGATTATTGTTTGTGTTAGTGTTCTGCTTACAGAGTTGCATAGATTTTCGTGATCTGCCCCAATCATATCTTCTTCCCATGAGTCCTGTTATTTTAATAAACTGTTTCACCAAAGGCAAAGTATATCAGAAATACTTATACCATGCTGTAGTTGTAACACTTGAACTAGGTGAACTAAGGGTTGTATGAGTAGACATGAGAAGATGGCATCACAAAGATGAAGACTGGATTGTCCATCTTCCTCTTCCTCAGGGTTGCTATGAGTCGGAATTGACTCAATGGCAGTGGGTTTAGTTTTTGTTTTTTTCCTCAGGGATGATGGCCCTTCTTCCTCAACCTCAGCAATCAAACGCTTGGAGCGAAGTCAGTGGACAGATAAGATGGATTTGCGGTTTGGTTTTGAGAGGCTGAAAGAGCCTGGGGAGAAGACAGGATGGCTCATCAACATGCATCCCGTAAGTGCCTGGGCTTTCCCTTCCTTCACCCTCCAACTCAGGCAGGTGGGGCACTCCTTGACTGAGGAATGGGTGACATAGTGGGGACCTGTTGATGGTTGGACATCATTGAGGCCACAAAGGCGCCTGTGGGAGAACAGAGGCACCTTGAATGCCCTCAGAACACAGCTTTCCAGGAGCACGAGAGGGCTCCGTTTGGATGTGCCTTTTGAGAAAGAGCCTGATGGCATTTATGCAGGGATGGGGTTAAGAGCTAGAGGAGAAGACTGTTCCTGTTAAAGTACTCAGTTCCCCAAAGAGTAGAAGGAAAAGAGCACTTGACCAAGGTGAAGCTGATCCCGTGCCCCTGCTGACTGCAATATTCTCTTTCAGACCGAGGTTTTAGATGAAGATAAGCGCTTGGTCAGTGCGGTAGATTACTACTTTATTCAAGACGATGGGGGAAGATTTAAGGTGAGCCCATGAGCCCCAAAGAAGCCAAAACTCACTTGATGAGAGGAGTGGCTGGGTCCAAAATGACAAGGATTCACTTACGTCTGTGATTGTTCAGGATAAGGACAAGGCAGCTTTTAGTGTGCATCTGGCCCGTTAGAGCCTCACAGGTCATCATTTAACATTTCCTGAAAGATGTTAACTCATTAGGACTTTGAACTATGAGCAATATTGTCCCTTAGATTCTTGCTCCTGAGACATGGGCTGATCCTATTTTCCTGTTGTGCTAATTTTCTTCTGCGACATCTAAGGCAGCTTGTCTTCATGTTTTTCTCACTTTTTTCTTTCTCATCACCCCTGGGTGGGTTGGTGACTCCCTTGCAGGTGGCGTTACCCTATAAGCCATATTTCTACATTGCAACCAGAAAGGTAAGCTTGTATTTCATACAGTCACATTATGTGACCTGTGCCTTACTTAGTGGTGGGCTTTGGATCTCAGAAATGAAAATACTTTTAGAGAAAGAGGCACAGAAATAAATAATCTTACTAATAGGAAGTCCTTTAATTCTGATCCTGATTCAGGGCTGTGAACGAGAAGTTTCATCTTTTCTGTCCAAGAAGTTTCAGGGTAAAATTGCTAAAGTGGAAACTGTCCCCAAAGAAGATCTGGACTTGGTAGGTATAACTCATGCCTTCTAGGGATCAATGAGGCTATTGCCACACTGTCTTTGACAAGTGAGCTGGAAAGACAGGTTGTCTATTCATGACCTCGGAGTAATTAACGATGTGGGAGTGGTATGGATGACAGGGCTTCAGCAGTGTATATAAGTATTCTTCAAGGAACTCATCAGGCATTAGTTGGTGCCATGTGCGCAGTTGGACAAGGTGCTTTACAGTTAGCAAATTGTCATTTCCTGAAAGACATGTTCCCCTTTGAGTCTTTATCGCCTTGTTTTCTCTCGCCAATAAAGCCCCTTTTCTCTTGAATTCACGAGCATGGCCTTTTGACCTTACAGCCAAATCACTTAGTGGGGTTGAAGCGAAATTATGTTAAGCTGTCCTTTAACACCGTGGAGGATCTTGTCAAAGTAAGAAAGGAAATTTCCCCTGCAATGAGGAAGAACCGAGAGCAGGACCATGCCAGCGACACCTACACAGCTATGCTCTCCAGGTACGTGCTGTTGTCTTACACAGAACAGCTGATTGGCCCGGAATGATTGTTTTCCTGTTCTTTCCTAAGGTGCAAGATGAATTGGAGGTGTACCAAAACCCAAACCCACTGCCATCAAGTCAATTCCAACTCATAGCTACCCTATAGGACAGAGTAGAATTGCCCCATAGGGTTTCCAAGGCTGTAAATGAAGCAGACAGCTTCATATTTCTCCCATGGAGCAGTGGGTTGGTTCAAACTACTGACTTTTCAGTTAGCAGCTGGATGCTTTAACCACTACACAATCAGAGCTTCTTGAATGCTTAGTGTGCCAATAATGGACTGAATAGTCTAGTGACAGCTTGGATCTAATGAGGCTAACTGATATAGTTGCTTACTCTGCCTTGGGCACTGTGCTCAGAGCTGTGTGACCATCCCTTCATTTAACCCCCAAGAAAGTCCCATTGGATAGGTCTGTTATCCTTCTTGATGAAGAAACAAGCTTGGCAAGGTTAGGCCGCATCTGCAGACAAAGCAGGGCTGGGACCCACATGCATCTCTGATACCAGAGGTGCTGTCCCCTCTGCACAGTCCTGCCTCCTGTGTAGCAGAGGACGTGGGATGATGATGGGTGGGAGGAATGACCTATGCCACACCAGTACACTCCTTGATGGGCAACACAGCTTGAATATGCTGTCCTACTTCTCTTCATAGAAACAGGTATAGTTTGCATTGGATCCTACTTATACAGTGGACTTCCCTGTACTCAGGCAGGTGACCATACAAGGTCACCCCTCACGGAAGGGCTGTCCTGGTGATCCTCACCACCTTGATGTGCCATTCCTGTTGACATGCATTAACTGAGGTCTTCGTGTCCTCCAACCTCTCACTGAGTGTAATTGTGTTACTGTGCACTCTTTTTCTGTAGTGTTCTGCAAGGGGGAGGAATAATTACTGATGAAGAGGAAACCTCTAAAAAGATAGCTGACCAGATGGACAACATTGTGGACATGCGAGAGTATGACGTTCCGTACCACATCCGCCTCTCCATTGATCTGAAGATCCACGTGGTGAGTGGGCTAGGTACAACCTAGGGCTGTTTCTCACATGAAGTCTTTAAAAGCCAGGAGGTGATACCTAAGGACAAACCTTAGCGAAACCGACTTCCCTGGACGTTCCGCAGGCTCACTGGTACAACGTCAGATACTGGGGCAATGCCTTGCCAGTGGAAATCACCCGCCGAGACGACCTTGTTGAACGACCTGTAAGTACTGCCTGTACCTCTATCATGAAATTTCCACCTGCTTTCCTAAGGCCTTGTATCCCTGGTCTGGAGAGATTAAAACCAAGCTGAAAAGTACGTTGCATTCAAAGATTACTGTGGTTCTTTATCCTCAAATTCTTTCTTAAAAAAACTGAAGAACTACAATTTTCCCATAAGTGTCTGGCCTGAGAGTACAGTTCCATTCTGTGCGTGTGTGTTACCGTGTGTCATCACTGTCTGAGCTAGGCTGGGATTGAACATTGGAGGAAAAGCTGTGAGTCCCCATCAATGGTTGACAGGAAAGTGATATGGTGGAATTTGGATTTATGGTAGGAAGACCTTGCTTGAAGTATAGCTGCATGGCCTTGGAAAAGTCACATACTGGCTTTCCCATTTCTGAAATGAAGTTGTCAAGTATGGAGCACAGTTAGCTGTCAGTGTTGTTGTAAAAGGTCAAACAGGCTACACACTTAAAAAACCTTGAGATTAGAGTTTTCGGTAATCCTAGGGTCATACTCTTACCAGCTGCTTTAGTCTTTGTCTCGTACATGTCTCACCTCCATACCATTGTTGCACATGGCATTATTGACGTGCATCAGTCAGTCTCTAGGCACCTGCCCCAGCCCTTTTGACCCAGCAGCAGTTGACTCTTGTTTTCAGAAAGTGGGCCAAGTGGAGCAGGCCAGTGGGTGGGTGGGTGGATGTGCAGGCTGGTGGGTGGGTGGGTATGCAGAAGAGGACAAACCTGGGTGTGCAGAGGGCAGATTGGTATAGTGTGGGCTTACCTATCCTTTCTGTATGTTCAGGACCCTGTAGTTTTGGCATTTGACATCGAAACAACCAAGTTGCCTCTCAAGTTTCCTGATGCTGAGACTGACCAGATTATGATGATTTCTTACATGATCGATGGGCAGGTGAGTGGTTTGGCTTCTTAGAAGTAGGCTCCATGAAGACAGGGACCTTGTCTGACCCTTAGAACTAGAGTAACATCTGCTAACTCATGAATACTTGCTGGGTGGGTGAATGCATAGGTGTAGTGCAGACGAGTGAAGGAGCAAGCTGTGTACATATCCAGCCTGTCCCTCCTGTGCCTGAGAGCACTGGGGCTAGGGAGCATTTTTCCGCTTTGGAAACTCATAATGCATGCAAGTCATGGCAAAGGTTTTCTCTCCATCTAGAGTTTCTGGGTGGAGTGTTGATGGCTGTATGCTTCGTGTTGCTATCCCTAACGTCACTGCTACTAAACTCCACCAGGGCTACCTAATCACCAACAGGGAGATTGTCTCAGAAGATATCGAAGACTTTGAGTTCACCCCCAAGCCAGAATATGAAGGGCCGTTCTGTGTCTTCAATGAGCCTGATGAGGTACTGTGGGGTGGAAAGGGAGACATTGTGATTTCTTGAGGCCTCCTGGCGTTCAGTCAGTGGGAGCTGACATTCCCTGAACCTGGTGTTCAGTCAGTGGGAGCCAACGCTCCCTGAACCTGGCATTCAGTCAGTCAGAGCCGAAGTTCACCACACCTGGTGTTCAGTTGTATTGTCTTCACAGAGGAGATTGGGTTTGGGGGGTATAAAGTGTTGACATGGGAGGCTTTTTCTGAACTCAGTGGGATCTGAAACATATTGAGGACGAGAAAAGAAGACCCTTGACTGCTGTCTTATGTTGGTTTCAGGTTCATCTCATCCAGAGGTGGTTTGAGCACGTGCAGGAGACCAAGCCCACCATCATGGTCACCTATAATGGAGACTTCTTTGACTGGTGAGACTGAGCTTATGTGTATATGATGGGCATTTGGGAGAGAGAGGGGGCCCAGGAGCTTTTCCTTATTCTGTTTGCGGGGAAGACAGTCATGAAGGGTTGCTGGAGTTGACCCTGGGAGCTGTTGCCCTTATCTGGGAGGCGGACTAGATCTTCAGCCCTTTCCACTCCTCTGCCCCCAGGCCATTTGTGGAGGCCAGAGCGGCTGTGCATGGACTGAGCATGCACCAGGAGATAGGCTTCCAGAAAGACAGCCAAGGGGAGTACAAGGCCCCCCAGTGCATCCACATGGACTGCCTCAGGTACGTCCAGGGGAACGAGGCGTACATGGTGGCTGTCACAGAGCCCCACCAGGGTGTTTTGTGAGGAAGGTCCAGGGGGCCAGGGCAAGCTAGGCTGAGCACAGTTTCACTTCTGAACTGCCTGGGATGTGAGGAGAATAGGGCCAAGAGAAGCTGCTGTGGGTGACTCCAGGGCTCAGCACTGTTGGCTGTGGCATCTTGCAGAGATTCTGGTTAACCTCACACACTGAGTGTTAGCCCTCAGGTATGGTGCAGAAAGGCCAAAGGGCTGGGGAGGGGTGGGGTCCAGGAGGAGCAGGGGACTGACTGGGGAGAACATGGATGGGGAGTACAGAGTGGAGGGTGAAAGAGGGTCTTGTGTTAAGAAGGGGTGGGCCTGGGTGCCTCATGCTGAAGGAGAAGAATTTGGTGCAAGGGGACCCCACAGAGCTTACAGATGAGCCATGGCTTGGAAGGTAAGCAGACCAGGTGGGCTCTGGTGGGTGTCGGCCATGGAGTGAAGTCTGGGGAGAGGCAGGGAGATAAGCAGCCTGGCTTAGTTGCTGGTTTTTCATTCTCTGAAGCGTGATCCAAGTTACTTGCTGGGCTGAGAGGTGAGGTGAAGGCTGGAAGTGAGGCTTGGGCATCTTAATTTGTGAAGTTAAGAAGGCCCCAGATCAGACAGTTCCTGTGAGGGTCCGGGTGTGAGTCTGTTGTGTCCAGCTCTGCCTGTTCTGCTATCCTGGGTTCAGACCACAGTAACCCATGGCCTCTGTTCTTGTTTCATCTCAGGTGGGTCAAGAGAGACAGTTACCTTCCTGTGGGCAGCCACAACCTCAAGGCGGCTGCCAAAGCCAAGCTGGGCTATGACCCTGTGGAGCTAGACCCTGAGGACATGTGCCGGATGGCCACCGAGCAGCCCCAGGCATGTGAGCTGCCCCGTGCCTTGGGTCCCTGTGCTCTGACATGACTGCCTGCCTGTGGCTGTCCACTTCCTGCCAGGATCCTTTTGTCCTGTCCTGCACCCTGTGAGCTGTGGCCAACCAGTGTGCTTGCTCTCTCTGTCCCAGGGCCAGCTTGCAGGGCTTTTCACTTGCTGGGCTCTGGCTGTACTAGCTGTTTGATGAATCTTTACATTAGCATCTCTCCTCTCTCCAGACCCTGGCCACATACTCAGTGTCAGATGCTGTGGCCACATACTACATGTACATGAAGTATGTCCACCCCTTCATCTTTGCACTGTGCACCATCATCCCTATGGAGCCTGATGAGGTGAGTGCTGTCATGGCCCACTGTCCTTAGTCCCCCAGACCCTCCTGAAATCATCAGCACCTAAAGGCACAAGTGACACACACAAGTGGTATTGAAAGTGACTCAGCTTTGGTGTGCAGATCTCTCTGATACCCTTTGGGAACTTACAACCATGGGAGGCAGAACTTAATAGCAATTTATTTTTTGATTGTGAAAATATACAGCAAAACGGATGCCAACTCAGCAATTTCTGTGTGTACATCTACGTGTACACGTGTACATCTTTGTGATGTTGATTACTTTCTCTAAACTGCAACCATTTTCACTCCACCTTTCCAAATCACTCCACCACAATGAACACATCTCAGTGCCCCCTAAGTAAAAGCTCACTATTTCTCCTTCCCACCCTGCCTAGCCACTGATAATCCCTGGTTTCCATCTATTTGCTTAGTTCATGTTGACTGAGATCAGATAGTATTTGTCCTTTTGTAACTGACTGACTTCGCTCAGTGTGGTGTTTTCAGGTTTTATCTGTGTTGTGGCCTCGGGACATCACTGCTCTCTGTAGCTAAGCAGTGGTGTAACAGTTTTTCAACAGACTTGCCTTCCTTTTATGTCAGTCAGGTTAGATGCCTTTTTGGTGCTTCTGGGACTTTGCCTGCAAGTCAGGGCCTTGGGTGTAGGGTTTGCGGATTTCATATGGTTTTAGCTTGACGTCCTCGTGCTTCTTGTCAGGTGCTCCGGAAGGGTTCTGGAACTCTATGTGAGGCCTTGCTGATGGTCCAGGCATTCCATGCCAACATCATCTTCCCCAACAAGCAAGAGCAGGAGTTTAACAAGCTTACAGATGATGGCCATGTGCTGGATGCCGAGACCTACGTGGGTGGCCATGTGGAGGCCCTTGAGTCGGGCGTGTTCCGCAGCGACATCCCCTGCCGGTTCAGGATGGTGCGCCCCTCCCCACCCCAGTGCACAGACCTGTCCCTGACACATACACCTTTCCCTGTGCTGTGCCCTGGGAGCCACATGGGTGGAACACATACAAAGTCCTTTCTTCCCAGCCTCTCCTGGGCCCTTTGACCAGCTCTTTGCTTACTTAGGTCACCACTGACTGTTCTGCTCTCCCTGGGGGCTTATCTCAGATACAGCTTTGGCTGCTTCCAAGGCCTGCTGTGCATTGCAGATGAGTCCTGGTCCTCAGGGCCAGCGGTACCCAGTGCACAGCAGAAGTCCGTGTGTTCTGACTACAGCTTCACTTCTGATGTGCTCAGAGGTAGGCTGGCGCAGGCAGATCTCGATTTTACGTGTCTTTTTGTCATGTTAGAACCCTGCTGCCTTTGACTTCCTGCTACAGCGGGTTGAAAAGACCATGCGCCATGCCATTGAGGAAGAGGAAAAAGTGCCCATTGAGCAGGTCACCAACTTCCAAGAGGTAAAACCTGAGGTCCAGAGTCTGCATATTGCTTTGAGATGAAGAAGTGGAGACAGGAAGAGGCAACGTTCTTTGAGCTTGGCCTCTCAGACGGGCTTCTTTTCTTAAAATGTGTGCCAGTTCCATGAACACTGAGACAGGACACAGGGTCCTCCTGCCAAGCTTTACACCACAGGATGGCCATGTTGTGGTTGAGGAGACTGTCCCATGTTCCTGGGGTAGGAGTGGTTGATGGAGTAGGCAACAGATGAGCTGGCTCTGGGTCGCACAGTGATGTGGGTGACACAGAAGGGACAGGTGAAGGTGAATCCATGGTCACTGACAGGCCTTGGGGGACAGGTGAGCGTGGGTCCATGGTCACTGACAGGCCTTGGGGACAGGTGAGCGTGGGTCCATGGTCACTGACAGGCCTTGGGGACAGGTGAGCGTGGGTCCATGGTCACTGACAGGCCTTGGGGACAGGTGAGCGTGGGTCCATGGTCACTGACAGGCCTTGGTGATGGACAGTGGGCAATAGGAGGGCCACTGTGCCAACTCTGGGGGGCACAGTCTCCTGACAGATGAACAGCACATGAGTCACAGCCACTCTGAAGGTGGGCCTGGTGAGCATTTATGGGCTAACCCACACAGTCCTCCCTAGAGTTCTCTCCCAGCCCTGATAGCTCTTGGAGGCTGCTGCTCCCCATGGGTGTATCCCTCATCTGGGCCTGTGTTTTCTTGAAGGTGCCAGTGTCCTAGGTGGTATCTTCATGACCATCCTATAACATCTGTCCTTACTTTGGTTTCTGACCCTGTGGTTCCCCTCTGTAGGTGTGTGACCAGATCAAGACCAGGCTCACCTCCCTGAAAGATGTTCCAAATCGAATTGAGTGCCCCCTTATTTACCACCTGGATGTGGGCGCCATGTACCCCAACATCATCCTCACCAACCGCCTGCAGGTATGCTCACACTGCACCTAGCACAGTCAGGATTCTCTCCATAGAAAATCTTAACTCTTCCTCCTCTCTCCTCACCCCCAGCCATCTGCCATGGTGGACGAGGTCACTTGTGCTGCCTGTGATTTTAACAAGCCTGGAGCAAACTGTCAGCGGAAGATGGCCTGGCAGTGGAGGGGCGAGTTCAGTGAGTGCCTGGGGAGGGGGTACTAGGGACACCAGGTGCCAGGGGCAAGTTAGGTGAGTGCCTGCAGAGGGGGACGTGGGGTACAGGGGTAAGTTCAATGAGTGCCTGGGGAGGGGTCACTGGGGACACCAGGTGCTAGGGACAAGTTAGGTAAGTGCCAGAGGAGGGGTCTCTGGGGACATGGGGTATAGGGGCGAGTTCAGTGAGTGCCCAGGGAGGGGTCACTGGGGATGTGGGGTGCAGGGGTGAGTTCAGTGAGTGGCTGCAGTAGGACGCTGGGGGAAACGGGATAAGCCTTTGTTGTAGACCTCTCTGCCCCTCCCAGTGCCAGCCAGCCGCAGTGAATACCACCGCATCCAGCACCAGCTAGAGTCGGAGAAGTTCCCACCCTTGTTCCCAGAGGGGCCCGCCCGGGCGTTTCATGAGCTGTCACGGGAGGAGCAGGCCAAGTATGAGAAGAGGAGGCTGGCAGGTGAGTTGTGTGGCTTCCACACACTGCATGGCCCTGCATGTAGCCTTGCACATGTCACGTGTCCCCCGGGTGGTGCACCTCTGCTGGGCTGTGGGGCTTCATGGCCAAGGTCAGCAGAGGCTCAGTGCTCCCATGGCTGAGGCCTAGAAGGCAGTGGTGTCACAGTCAAGTCTCACCTCCGACGCGGTCTCCTTGTGCCCCAGATTACTGCAGAAAGGCGTACAAGAAACTCCGTGTCACCCGGGTGGAGCAGCGCCTCACCACCATCTGCCAGCGGGAGAACTCCTTCTACGTGGACACAGTTCGTGCCTTCCGGGACCGACGCTATGAGTTCAAAGGGCTGCACAAGGTCCGGCTGAGATGTTGTGAAGCAGACCAGGGAGGCCAGAGCAGGGCTCGGTTCTGAGACGAGGGGCCTTGTGGAGTCTTTCTGGACTCTCTTGGCTCCCTCACTGGGACTGGTGTAGGTCTTTCACTGCCAGGCTGTCTTCTGCTGGCAGTTCACTGCAGGCTTGTCAGAGTCACAGGCAGTGTAGGTGATCTTCTCCACCAGGAGTGCTGGGTAGAGGAGAGGAAGAGGAGTTAGGGTTTCAGATGGAGCGCCCCGTGTGTGCTGATCTGGGCTCTCTGACTGGCTACGTGCAGTAAAGGCACCAGACTTTTTTGTTTCTTTAACGTGGAAGAATTAAGGACAGGAATAGGCTGTGGTCCATCTGACCTGAGGCCTCCAGATTAGTTTTTTTAGTGATTTGGGTGAAAGTTTACAGAGCAAATTCATTTCCGTACAGCAGTTCATACACTTTCTGTTTATGACTTTGACTGCAGTTCCCCACAATGTAACAGCTCTCCTCCTCCCTGTAGTTACCTCTTCCCTGTGTTTTTTCTATGTATTCCCGCTCCCTGAGCTGTCTCCCTGTGCAAATACTGCCCTTCAGTTCTACCATGATTGATCGTTCTAAGGAGTGTCTCTACCTGATGTAAATGTTTACTTGTATGCCTGTCTATTGCTTGATTGGAAGCCACAGGAGTGAGATCAGTTCCAGACCTGAAGGGTAACTAGGGACCATAGTATCAGGGGTCTCAGTCTGATGAATATTTTTGAAGTAACTGTTTAGAACAGGGTCAGGAGGCAACAGCTGGGCTGGCCACTCTTCTTTGTAAATAAGGTTTTATTAGAACATTCACATGTTGTCTGTGGCTGCTTCTGCACTACAGTAGTGGGGTTGAGTAGCTTCCGTGGAGACTGCAAAAGCCACATGCTGGAGACACTGACTGTTGGCCCTTTAAGAGCAGGTTTGCCAGCTTCTGACTGTAGGGGAGAGGAGTACATATGGTCTTCACTGTTCTATTCAAGTTTTCTGTAGATTTGAAATTTCTGTCGACTGGGAGAATGTGTTGTCTGCTCAGCCTCTCTGTGGTCCTCAGGTGTGGAAGAAAAAGCTGTCTGCAGCAGCCGAGATGGGTGACGCTGCCGAGGTGAAGCGTTGCAGGAACATGGAGATCCTGTATGACTCCCTGCAGCTGGCCCACAAGTGCATCCTCAACTCCTTCTACGGCTACGTCATGCGCAAAGGGTGTGTGCCAAGGTGGGGGGCACAGGGTTGGGTGAGGGCACACAGAGGACGGAGGAGTGATAGGCTCAAATGTGGCAGTGCTGTTCACAGAATCTACGGCATTGGAGAACGCAGGGTGGAATTGGGCAACGGTGGGAGGAGGAGGAGAGTAGGAGTCATGCTGACTGTGGCACCTGGGCATGTCACTGTTCAGCCGTGGGCTGGAACTGGGAACGTGTCATTACTCAGGAGCAGGGAGGGGCTGGGCAGGTGCACGGTATGCACGGGGAGAGGTGGAGGAATCCCTACCAGGAGACACAACCCTTCAGAATTCAGAAGTCATAAGGGGTTCTCAAAGCCAAGATGAGGATGTCCCCAGAGGGAGGAGGTGAGATCAGGCCTGAATGGTGACTATGACCTTGGAGAGCAAGCTTGGAAGCACCAAGATGAGCCTGGGCTGGGTTGGGATGGGGACACAGGGCTGTGTGGAGGGAGACAGGTGGTAGTTCGGTGGAGGAATTGTTTGATTATTTGTGGTGGTTCTAGCCATGTTCATTGCTAATGGGGCACAGGCTGCAAGGACTGAGGACATGGTGGAGGGCAGTGTCTGTGGAGCCAGGGTCCAGCCAAGAGAGGGGTGTGATCATGAAGGATGAGTTCTGTTTCTATGAGAAACAGAAGATGAAGATGGGCCGAGGGCATGACAGGACACATAGTAGGAGATGAGGATGGGCTGGGGAAATGACAGGGGACACAGTGGAAGATGAAGATGGGCCTAGGAGATGACAGGACACAGTAGTAGGAGAACAGGACGCTCTCTTAGAGGCGTGGATGTTTGGGTGGTGGCAAACAACTGTGGACAGGAAGACATATGCTGGTGGGCAGCATGCTGCCTCCTTTAGGACCTTGTGGCCGTACTGCACCCTAGGGTAATGAGGGGTGTCCTTGGGTCAGAGGCCAGCTCCTCACCAGCTATCCTGTCCTGCTTCAGATCACTTGGCTGCTTAATTGCCCTTCTCAGGACCCTCCCCCATACCTCCTTTAACATTTCCTGAGAGAATCTGGCTGGCTGTTAGCTTCTTTGCCTGTCCTCGAACAACCCTCCCCTCGTCTCTGCTTCCAGAGCACGCTGGTACTCCATGGAGATGGCCGGCATCGTCTGCTTCACGGGGGCCAACATCATCACCCAGGCCCGGGAGCTCATTGAGCAGATTGGGTGAGTGCCGCGTGGTGGGCTGGGAAGGAGCCGGAGCTGACAGTGGTCCGGTTGCTGGAGGGTTTGACCTGCCCGGCACAGTGGGGTCAGGTCTCGTCAGATGCCGCCTGCTTTTGTGGGCAGAGGCCACAGCTCACTGCATGGGCCTCATCTGTCTCCTGTGCAGGCGGCCCTTAGAGCTGGACACAGATGGAATATGGTGTGTCCTGCCCAATAGTTTCCCAGAAAACTTTGTCATCAAGACAACCAATGCGAAGAAGCCCAAAGTGACCGTCTCTTACCCTGGAGCCATGCTAAACATCATGGTCAAGGTAAGTGGCCTCCTAGTGGGGGCCAAGGTCTGCACTCATGGGATTGGATGATTTCCTAGTGTGAGCATCTTGAAGGAGACTTGAAAGACAATTTTACTGGCTCTGAAAATGCCTCAAACTGGTGTGCTCACCTTCCTAATCTTAGACACCTGCCTCACCTGCTTGGTTTTTTCTTTGGCCTAAGATTCTAATGTCTAAATGCTAAGTTCAAAAGTGACTTCATCAGGGCACTTCTTTATCTCAGTCAAGCATCTCGACTCTTTTGCTTCTAACTTTTTGTTTTGAAATACTTTTACCAGAAGAGTTGCAAATACGGGAGAGGGTTGCTGATGGTAACATCTTATGTAGAGAGCCATGATGCAGTTGTCAAAACTAGGAAGTCTCCATCACTGTTGTTTATTCTCTGTCTCGGGATCCCATTCAAGATCCCATGCTGCACGTGGTGGCTGGGGACATGTGAGTGGTTTGAGTCTGGGGTGGCTCTGAGTGACACCACTCTCATCCCACCCCACCCTCTGCTGGCTATAGGAGGGCTTCACTAACCACCAGTACCAGGAGCTCGCCGAGCCCTCCTCACTCACCTACATCACTCGCTCTGAGAACAGCATCTTCTTTGAAGTTGACGGACCCTACCTTGCCATGATCCTCCCAGCCTCCAAGGAAGAAGGCAAGAAGCTGAAGAAGAGGTGGGAGACTAGCAGCCCTTGGCTTTTGCCCAGCACATAGGTTGAGGTGGATGGATTGGATGTGACAGTCCAGTCAGGAACATGGGTCAGGCACCAGGACAGTAACAGGACTTGGCTCTTCTTTTCCTTTTTGTTTCTGATTGATTCACAGTTGGAGAGCTGCATACATGATGCCACCAGCTTTACTCCCTGCTTTCTGAGTTTGGGTTCTGAGGTTGCAGGCCCTTGACTCATGGTTATATTTGAGAAGCATGAATCAGGGGTGGAGGGTGGCTGCTGCCTCGTGGTCATAGACAAGGGGACGGAATGTGGCTCATGCCCTGGGCTCTCTTCACTGCCCTGCCTGCCTGGTCCCTAGGTATGCTGTGTTCAATGAGGACGGCTCCCTAGCGGAGCTCAAGGGCTTCGAGGTCAAGCGGCGTGGGGAGCTGCAGCTGATTAAGATCTTCCAGTCCTCAGTGTTCGAGGCCTTCCTCAAAGGCAGCACCCTGGAGGAGGTTTATGGCTCTGTGGCCAAGGTGGCCGACTACTGGCTGGATGTGCTGTACAGCAAGGTGAGGCCTGCCTTCCCACTTGCTGCCATCCCTGCTAACAGAGCAGTCTCCTGGGCTCCCTGGGCAGAGCTTGGTGTTGGACAAACCTGGGGCTAGTTCTGATGGAATCCAACATTTTGGGTGGCAGAGTTCTGTGAAGGAAATATTTTTTAAATCACATTCTAGTGAAAGGCACTGTAACTAATGAGCACACCAACCTACTCGATTCTTTGAGTTTTTATAGGTTCTGTAAATGAGCACATAATGTTCACAATTTATATGACAAAACTGGTTTATTTCCAATTATCCTTTCTCTTGTATTGCTCTAGTTTTATTGTAAAGACTATGGAACATTTCTTCACGTTTGAATACTGTGATTTATTGAACTGGTTTGCTCCTAGTCTTGTGTGGGCCTCAGATTTCCATCATTGTTATTAATGTTGCAGTGAGCATCCTTGTACACACGCCTCTGCTGCCACTCTGCATATTTCCTAGGTGTAGGCTTTCTAAGGGAAAGGAATACTGGGATGTTCCAGTATTCTAGAATATTTTGTAACATGTTTCTGGCTTCCTTTGCTTCCTGGGCTGCCATTTATTGGCTTGTTGTCTTTGTTATATAGTGTTTACCCATATATGGAAAGGGGAGAAGGCCAAACACTCATGAACCTCACAAATTGTGCAGGACGTTGGAGTGGGCCATGTCCAGGAGGTGGGTGGGGGCAGTTACGTTGCACAGCAGAGTTGAGCTCAGGGGCACTGTGGACATGACACTTACTGAGCAGGTCCTGTCTTGTTCCAGCAGCTCACTGTTGTTAGGTGCCATCGAGTCAGGTCCATCCCATGTACAATAGGACAAAATGCGGCTCAGTCCTGCACCGTCCTCACAGTCTTTGCTGTTTGAGCCCATTGTTGTAGCCGCTATCAGTCCCTTTATTGCGGACCCTCTATCAAGCATGATGTCCTCCAGGAACTGGTCCCTCCTGATGACACGTCCAAAGCACATGAGACGAAGCCTCGTCATGCTCACTCCTGGGGAGCATCCTGGCTGTGCGCCTTGGATGACAGGTCACAGCTGCTGCTTTCTCCCTTTCCTCCCTCTGGCTCTCTTCTGCATCTTTGCCTTCCTTTTAGGGGAGCAGTCATCGGGTCTTTCCCCTGTCTTAGGCAGAGCAACTTCCCCTTCTGTAGTCTTAGCAAATAAAATGACATTTCAGGCATAATTTAACAGAATAAAAGCTAAGGTTTTTGTTAGTTTGCTTGCTTTAAATATTGCTGTGCAGTGGTAGAAGGCAGATCCTGTGAAGTCAGGATACTTCCTTGATTACTGGATCAGTGAACTACATCTTTATCTCTGTGATGCTGTCTGTCTGTCCATGTCTCTTTCTCTAGGCAGCCAACATGCCAGACTCCGAGCTGTTTGAGCTCATCTCTGAGAACCGCTCCATGTCTCGGAAGCTGGAGGACTACGGGGAGCAAAAGTCGACCTCCATCAGTACGGCCAAGCGCCTGGCTGAGTTCCTGGGTGACCAGATGGTCAAGGATGCAGGGCTAAGCTGCCGCTACATCATCTCCCGGAAGCCTGAGGGCTCACCTGTCACAGAGAGGTAAAGGCTTCAAGTTCCCTGAGGACTGGGCTGCCAGGACCTGCAGCTTACCTCCATGGAGGTAGAGGCCCCTGGCTCCCTGAGAACTGGGCTACCAGGACCTGCAGCTTACCTCCATGGAGGTAGAGGCCCCCGGCTCCCTGAGAACTGGGCTACCAGGACCTGCAGTTTACCTCCATGGAGGTAAAGGGCCCAGGCTCCCTGAGGACTGGGCTGCCAGGACCTGCAGCTTACCTCCGTGGACATCTGCTTCCCTTTTTGGAGACAGATTGCCAGGCCTTTCCTCCTTGTCTGTCTGCATCTGGAAGCTCCACTGAGACCTCGTCAGTGTTGTAGCAGCACGCATGCCTCTGCTGACAGACGTGTGGTAGCTGTGTGAGGTGCATTGGCTGGGAATTGAATGCAGGTCTCCTGAATGGAGGGCAGGAATTCCACTGCTGAGCCCCCAGTGCTCAGGCAAACAGCTCTGCTGGTAGTGGTCCAACGTTGAGACCAAGTCTAGAGGCCAAGGGAGAGATTGTGTGTTAAACCCTGGTACTTTCTTTCATACGACGAAGTTTCAGTTATTATATATGATAAAGTATTAGATAAAAGTATAGTTTGCAGGAAATGCTAAGTGAACATGTAGGTCACAAACTAGTTTTCTGTGTCTTGCTTATTTCACTGTGGAGTGGGTGATACCTGACCTAGGCTTTTCAGATGGCCCACGTATATATGTGTCCCCTCACTAGGGCCATCCCGCTGGCCATCTTCCAGGCAGAGCCCACGGTGAGGAAGCACTTTCTCCGGAAATGGCTCAAGAGCTCCTCCCTGCAGGAGTTTGATATTCGCACGGTAAGTGCTGAGTTTTCTGTCCACTCAGAAGTTCAGGAGGGCATCAGGCAGAGAACACACCTGACTTGGGTCATCCTTTTTGTCTGGAGTCTTGCCTCTTGACTTCCTCCTTTCTTTTTTTTTTTATTTTTTATTTTGATTTGGGTGAAGATTTACAGAGCAAATTCACTTTCCATACAGCAGTTTACATATACTTTGTCTCATGTCATTGACCACAGTTTACCACAATGCAACAGCTCCCCTCCCACTTCCTTCCCATAGTTACCTCTTCCCACTGTCCATCCCTCCATACTCTCCTGCCCCTTGAGCTGTCTCCCTGTGCATAAGCAGCCCTTCCTTCTCCCATGATTGTTCTCTCCAGGGCGTGTTTACTTGAGGTAAATGTTTAACTCACATGCCTGTACTTTGTTTGGCTGGAAACCACAGGTGTGGGTTCAAGTCCAGACCTGAAGGGCAGCTCGGGGCCATAGTCTCAGTGGTTCCACCAGGCTCTATTGGACCAGCAAACCTGGTCCCTACCTTTTTTTTTTTTTTTTGCCTC